GGATCATCTTCTTTGCGATAACGAGAGATTAGCAAACCCGGTATCCGAGCATCGAACTTGGTTCCTTCTGATGAATTCCACTCTCCATATACTTCTTCTGCTCCTTTGAGGTCCTTGAGCTTCAACAAAGCTCTAATCACACTTTGATATCCTTCATTCCAAAAGGAGCTAGTTTTAATCTCTCTCTCTCCCTTCTTCTTGTACTCATTCCAAAGACGGTACACTTGATTTTTACTCGGTGTTATCTCTATCGCCTTTAGAGTCAACCCTTCTATTTCGTATGCCATTGCCATTACATCCATCGTTTTTACTTCAAGCTTGAGTTTCTCATCTCCAACCCATTCGCTCATATGCTTCTCCATCGATTCTATGGCTAAAACGTACGCGTTGACTCTCAAAACGTTGTTCTTGGTGACATTGTCGGGCTCTATGTTGTTATCCTTCATCTCCACTAGAAGCTTGTTGACCTTGCTTCGTTTTCTTAGCTCAATGTAGAGAGATATCATCGAGTTGAATGGTGAAAGTCTGTAGAGGAAACCGAGCTCTCTCATCTTCTCGAAAGTGGACTCTGCTTTGTTTACAGTTTTGCAAGATCTTGTGTACGAGGTTAAGAACGTAGCGTAGACAGAGTAATTCTTCATGTTCTCAGGGATGCTTGTTTTGAAAAACTTCTCTGCTTCTTCCAAACCCAACACTTTCTCAATCAGATGAAACCTAGCTGCATAATCTTCAGGAAAAATATTAGCCACTCCTTTTTCACACATCCATGATGATGCTTCAAGTGCTTTCGAGAACTGATTCGAATCACTTAGATTCTTGATTAGGTCCCTCAAATCTGACGGCTTCACTTGATTCCCCCATTCCTCAAGCAATGGAGTGATTGGTCCAACCAATTCTCTGTTCCTCATAGTCTTCTTCATCAGTTGATCTGCCTTGTCCACCATTCCCTTCTCGCGATAACCAGACGCCAACATTGTCGAGATACCGACCTCAAACTCAAGACCCGAACACTCCCACTCTTTGCAGTCCATCTCCTCTGCTCCTCTTGAATCACCTAGCTTCAGTAGAGAACCAATCAAAGCTCGAAAACCTTCATTGTCTAGCTTTCTTGTCTTCTTGTACAGATCCCATATACGGTAAACATCTATTCTCGTTCCTGCTTTACCATACAGCCTCATGAGCTCCACATACGACTCAGGATCCTTAAATTCCTCTGTTCTACGAAGCATTTCTCTCGCCCTTCCCTTAAAACCAATTCTCAGATAAGCATTAGCCATGTCAAGCGTTGCCCTCGTCCATTGTAGCTCTGTCAGATACAGCTATCGATCTCGGAGAATCTCATCGACTTTGTCTCTGATTACCATAGAACCGTAAATCGAAGTGTACGGTGAAGGTTTCGAGGGCAAACCTCGCTCTCTCATCTTCTCGGCTTTACTCATAATCTTCTTCCCCGATTTCGCGTATCTGCTAAGTACATCGATGTAGATAGATTCGTCTCTGAGATTCTCAGGGATGCTCACGAAGAACTTCTCAGCTTCTTCAAAACCTAATTCCTTCTCAATCAGACGAAATCGAGCATCTTTTGTTCGATCATCCAGTCTGATACCTTTAGGGCTTTGCGAAATCGCTTGGAATCTCGGAGATTCTCGACGATTCCTCTTAGAAACGAAGGGTTTAGTTGATTTCCTTGTTGTTCTTGTCGCCATTGCTCAAGCACCTTCGTGATTTCTGCTTTCCCGTCTAAAGCAGATTCGATTCGACTCGACTCTGAAGGATTTGGTTCGACGACAAGTTTGTGTAGGAGCAGAGGAATCGAGTCGTGCTTCTGTGAATGAGGATACGCCTCGTTTGTTGCTGAAGATGATGCGTTACTAAGCTTCTCATGTTCGATAATGGTGGTGATGATACAGTGAAGAAGAAGAAGAGATTAGGGTTTAATTACTCGATTTATACTAATTACTTTTATTAGTTTAATCTTAAGAAGATTACGACACTAACGAGAGTTAATAGCGGGTAATCTTCTCCAAGTCATGGCCATTTAGATTTTTCCGTTTCTGGTCAACAAGCCCAATTGATTTGCAATTACATGATTTAGCAGGGTTAACTCCGGTATAAATGATTAAACCAATCCTGGTTTGTTTTTATAATTGGTATACTTATCAAATTTTCTCTTTTAGATTATAAGGATGATCCGTATTTTTTATCACTGACTAATTCTTATAGGATAAATGTAGTTGCCGAATAGTTTTTGGTTAAACTATTTAATAGATCTAAAACATGAC